ATAACAATAATAAAAAGAACAATAATGTTAATAGTAATAATAATAATTATATTAACCACAAGAAGAATGCGTCTGCATTGGGCAATGAAACCAATCCTGGCAGAGAAATACATGTTTGCCACAATTTGAGCCTATTTAAAACCTTCCTTTCCACCTGTGGATGTACGCAGGTTGCAGTCATCTTCTTTGGCTTCAGCGCTTTTAACTCTTGACGTTTTATATGATTTGTTCCCTGCTGTTACTGCACATGTATCTGTGTATTTGATTTATTACGTGCGCCGTGGTGGCAGATGAAAAACCCTTCACTGTATGGTCCGAACAATAATAATAATAATTGCATTTATATAGCCTTTTTGGTCCTTTGCCTATTTCATTGACACTTGTTTCAAAGAATATGAAGTCGCCACGACAGAATTGCCAGTAAAGAGCAGCTATGTTCTACATGCAAATATTGAGACTTTAAACTGGAAACGAGTGCCCCTTCTTTCTTTTCAAGTTCGTCAAATCTCCCAAAATGGACAGGAAAGCTTTTAGAACTAATTCTGCACTTTTTCCACCACCTCGCTTCAGCTCCTACCACAATTTCAAATGAGCGTTTCTTTAAACAATACATTTGCAGATAGGACACTCTGGCAACGTACCGAGGTATGTAGCTTATCATGTCCACTAAAAACACTAAGAATGCCTTCCATTATGAAGGACAAAATATAGAACAGTTTGCACACGTACTGCTTTCACGCTGACTTCTGTGACCGATTTTCTTTGTATTCAAGTGAGGTAAACTAGGTCCTCCAAACATTGTGACCTGGATTTGTGAAGTTGATTGTTGTCGTTACTACGGTGTTTGTGTTCGTTTCTTTGCTTACTTCCCTTGGATTGAACGGTTTGTATTATCAACATATTGATCAGTGTTAAGAAATGAAAAAGAAGAAAATATTTTAAATGGACAAAAGGGATGTTTTAAACATTGTCAGAAGAGACAGAATAGCTTCTCAATTAACGGACCACCAATTTTTAAAGAAAATGCACAACCTGTCACTAAGATACTGAAACAGAAAATCTCCAGGGCCTGAATATATATTCAAGTTGAAGTTGTTGTATAGCACAGATGGGTCCTGAATTAGCAACAACGATCTCAGATTGTATCTATGACAGCTCTACGGTTATTAGGAAATAAGATTAATTCAGTTGTATAATGCCTTACAAAAAACACCATGTGCAACAGAGGGTACGTTACATCGAACTTACGTACTTACAAATTTACTTACTCTCTCCCTATACCGTCAGGTACATTAGGCGGAAAGCAGTCGACGCCACGCTTGTCTGTCCCGAGCCACTTTCTCCGATTTCGGCACATCTAGGCCCTGGGTGATTGCCTCATCTCTCATTGTGCCTCTACAGTTTATAATTGGTCTTCCCCGCTTTCTCTTTCCAGTTGGTTTCCAATGCCATATCCGATAGAGCAATCTCGTCTTTGGTATTCTCAGAACATGTCCCAGACATCCCCATTTTCTCTTTTTTATTATAATTGTTGTGCTGATATATTCAATTCCAGCTCTTTCCAACACTTCATTATTTGTAATAAATTCATTCCATTTTATTAGTAAAATTCTCCGTAGACATTTTGTTTGGAAGCTTTTTATTGTTCGTTGAAATGTAATGTGCTTTCCTTATCTCTGAACCATACGTCACGCGTCAATACAGCCGAAATATTGCTATTACATCTTTTTAATTTCGTCTTCAATGAAATGATCTTTGACTTTCATATAGTTTTAAATTTCACAAAAGTGATCAATGCATTTTTAAGTCTTTGGTGGACATCGTCAAGGCAGTCTACATTTTTGGACATAATGCTGCCAAGGTACTTGAATTTACTCACTTCTGCTAGAGGTTCTCCATAAAGAGTGATGGGCGTACTTGCTGATGACAGTCGTAGTATTTCTGTTTTGGATACATTTATTATAAGGCCAACCTTTTCTGCCACTTTTGCTAGTTCGTCTGTTTTGATTGCACTTCATGTACTGTGGTGTTTAATAGGCAGATGTCATCCGCTAAATCTAGATTTCCCAAATATGTGCCATTTGCCCATTGTCTGTTTCAATGTAGTTACTCTGTCTCATTACAAAATCGATCACAAAAGTACAGTTGATAATATATAGCCTTGTCTTACACCAGTGTTTGTTCGAAAGTTTTATTCTAAATTCTCAGTTTTGTTGAAGCAAAGCGTTTTTTGGTGTCTGTCTTCACTTGTCTTTTTAGTTTGAGTTTGATAGTTGCAATGCAGAGGAAATGGTCCGATCCAACCTCAGCCCTTCTATATGTGCAGACATCAATTAGAGGTGTTCTGAATTTCTTTCTAATTCAAAAATGATCTATTCGATTTGTTGCATCGAACAATAAGCCTTAAAAGTCAGTGTATACAAACCTGGCTGCGAAAACTAATGGAAAGAATGAGGAAAAGTCTACGGCCAGAGATATGGAAAACTCAATTCGGATTTGTTCCTAAGAAGGCTAGAAGCAATGCAATATTCACATTGTATATGAACAATGTGAATGGAAAGATACATTGAAGAGGCGAAATATCAATATTTATTATGCTTCACTGAGTACCCTAAGGGTTTGATAAACTTAGACGTGACGTGCTATTTACTATTTTGGAAGAGCTAAACACATGCAACATATTTGAGAATTATCAGAAATTCGCACTGGAGATGAAAAACTGCTGTGAGAATTGAGGAAGAGTACAAGGGATATGAGAAGATTAAAGGAGGAGTTGGGCAAGGATGGATAATGACACCATGACTTTAAAAGAATTTCCAGTGAAACAATCCTCAAAAATAAGAAAGTCAAGACCTCAATGCGAAAGGAGAAAATGTTAGTAACACTAGACACGCCGATGTCACTGTTAAAATGCAAACTCAGTAAAGGACCTTCAGTTGGTCCACCATGATGATGACATTCATACTGTGCTCACCTCAGGTTGAAGAACAGAATTGACTTAGCTGACAGTTGAATGGATATAAAGATGTCATCGCTCTTAAACTACTGGGCAAAGCGTTTCAATTCTTGGAGCCATGATGCATTACTGCCCTTTCACCCACTGTTTTAAGTTTCATACATGGTAAAAGTAATCTCTTTCTGTGAGCTTACTTACTCTGGCAATACCGTCAGGTACAGAACGCAGAGAGCAATTGGCACCACACTTGCCCGTCCCCGATCACCTTCTACAATCTCTACACGCCAGGCCTTGGGTGATTTCCTCATCCCTAATTGTGCCTCTGTAATTCTCAGTAGGTCTACCTCTTGTTCTTTTTCTAGCTACTCTCCAATACCAAGTCTCATAGAGCAATCTTGTCTTTGTCGTTCATAGAACATGTCCTAAATATCTCCATCTTTTATGGTTTTGTTGATATCTTCAATTCCGACTCTTTCCAACACGTCATTATTTGTAATTAATTCTTTACTTTTTATTGGTAAAATTCTTCGTTTACGTTTTGTTTGGAAGCTTTTTGATTTCCACTGAATTGTGTTGTTCTTCGTATCTCTAATACATACACCAGTACGGCCAAAACATTTTATTATAGATTTTTAATTTCGTCTTCATTAAAATGATAATTGACTTTCAGATGTTTTCTGATTTAACAAAAGGGACCCATGCATATTTAAGTCTTTAGTGGACGTTGTCAAGGCAGTCTGCAGTTTTGGAATTATGCTGCCAAGGTACTTGAATTTACTGATTTCTGCAAGAGGTTCTCCATAGAGAGTGATGGGAGTAGTTTTTGGTGATGATAGCAGCACTTCTGTTTTGGACAAATTTATTGCAAGGCCCACGTTTTCTGCAGCTCTTGCTTATTCATTTTTTTAAAAATGCATTTCAAGTACTGCCGTGTTTCATGATGTCATCCGTATAATCAAAATCTCCAAAATATATGCCAGTTGCCCATCCAATGATTGTTGCAATGTATTTACTCTGTCTCATTACAAAATCGACCACACCTCCCAAAAGTGCAGGTGATAGTATGCAGCTTTGTCTAACACCAGAATCTACTTCACAGGGTGTAGATGGTTCTCCTTCAACCAGGACACAGTGGCTTGCTTTGGTATACAGTTTATTGTGTTCGTTGGGATGCCATAAATTGAAAGAATTTTCCTCAGGGCCGTTCGATCAAATCTGTCAAAGGCTTTTTAAAAGTCCTCAAAGTTCAAAATAATTGGGACATTCCATTCTTTCCTTTGTCAATTGTGCACCTACAGTAGTAAGAGAAAAAATATAGGAATTCTCATTATCATGATATTTTCCCTTTTTTCTCAGGTCTCTCACTGTCACGATGATCTCCGAGTACCTGATAGCTCTCGTGGTCCTAGCTGCGATATTCCTGATTGGGTCAAAAATCAAAAATCGAAAACCTACAACGGTTCCTGGTCCATCCATTCTTCAAGGTCTGTGGGACTTTCTGCAAAGTATGCGTCATGATTCTCTCCATCTGACGGCAGCAAAGTGGGCGGACCAGTACGGCGATATCGTGTCGGTGAACACGCTGTTACGTCAAGTAGTTTTCGTCAATAGTTCGAGGCTCGCGCGTAAACTTGTGTGCGATCCGAGCACAAGAGAAGTCTCCAACGACAGACCGCCCACGTTCATGGGAAGAGTTTTCTTTTATGACTCTCAAGACATTTTGCTTGGCCGTTATGGAAAAGACTTGTTCAAGAGAAGGAAAATCTTTCATCAAGTACTAAAGTTTTATGGCCAAGGTGTCCACAACTTTGAAACACTGATGAAATCAACGTCCAAAGAACTGTGCCATCGCCTGACTCAGTATGAAGGAGACATACCTATATCGATAGAGCTTGCTCGATACATTCGGTGGGTAGTCGCGCTTCTACTCAAAGGACCGGAGACGTGTGAACAAGATTTAGATGCTATGCTTGAGTATATCGATAGAACAAATGAGTGTTTCATTTTTGAAAAGGAAGTAGTCTTAGAAACAGTTCCTTTTGCGCCTCATATCCCTGGACTAGGCCTGAAGAAGCTTGTGGGTGATCTAAAAGTCGCCCAAGAAGTGATGAGACAGAGATTTTTTCTGGCTATTCGAGAAACCTACCAGAAAGGGGAAAGAACTGGTATAGTTACTGACATGTTAGACCAGCAGACAGAGCTAAAGGAGAAAGGAAACGCCTCCGAAATGCCTGATGAATTAATCATTGGTTTAGTCCAGGATATCGCCGCAGCTGCCTATGCCACAACGGTAGCGACATTGAAAACATTATTTTTGCAGATAGTGGTGGACCAAAAGCTTCAGGACCGCATACATGCAGAGATCTGTGAAGTGATAGGAGATGAAAGCCCCAGCTTTGAACACAAACGCCACATGCCGTACACAGAAGCAGCTATCCTGGAGACCTTGAGATATTCCTCAGTCGTACCTCTTCTGCTGCCTCATTACGCCTGTGGGGACATTCATTTTGAGGGACATTTCATTCCTAAAGGTACTTTTCTTATCCTGAACGCCTTTTACTTCCACCATAGAGATGACGCCTTTGAAGACCCCTGGAAGTTCAAACCAGAGAGGTTCCTGGACTCTGAAGGTCAACTCCTCGACCCAGAACATCCCACACGACAGAAGCTTATTCCTTTTGGGACTGGGAAAAGAGCTTGTCCTGGTGAAAGTTTTGCGAGGATTCGCGTCTTTTTCATCGTGGTCACTTTGCTTCAGAAGTATCGGTTTTTGCCCCCCGTTGATGACCCGCTCCCGTCTGTGCATCCACGGGACTGGAAAATACAGGCAGTGATTTCTCCAGACGAATACAAGTGCCGAATGGAACCCAGACTCAAAGGAGAGGCCGGTACTTGTCAGACGTAATGAGAACTGAGCTCAAGCATTCGGAATTAACCATAGACTTGAGTTATCCACATGTATATAATACCCAAGCCTGAGAACTCTCACATAATTCTTGTTTACTACAGAGAGCAGCATTCGACTCTGTTTGGGACTAAATGAAGGGCAAGAGGGAAAAATATTGTTCACGACACTTGACTTAAGCGAGACTAGTGCTTTGACTTTCGTTTGCACGTCCAATGTGCGCAGAAGGAGCAAAGTGTTTTTCTTTAATAGAGAGCAAAGACTGAAAGCCATGACAGTGCCTTGTTTGAATATATCATAATTCACGTCTTGTCTATTGAAACAACCGACAGGGCAGATCAATTTATTGTAGACTGTATAGTAGTCCCAGGCCCCAAATGTTTAACTATTTTTAATGTAATTTCTTTATTTCTCTTATCGATTGCATGTGATCGAGAAATATTTGGTGGACATTCAAATTCTAATGTTGAAAACAACAAAAAAGGAAAGAAACAAAGAAACAAAAGAAACTTAAACATAGCAGCAAGAAAAGATACATAATGCATGTACATTTATTTAAAAAAACAAAACACTTCTCTCTCTCTCCTGAGGACGTTTGGTGCTGGGTTTGGTCAACTGGAGCAGCTGGTAGACCGTAATACCTTACCGGAAATTCCAGCACTTCCGGCGTTTGTCGTGGAGAGGAAGGACTCCCGAGTCCATGGACCATTCGTTTTCTCCTTGTATGATGCTTTACTCTACATTTTTCAGCCTCTAACAACACAATTCAGATCCCTAAATAGGCGGAAGTCCCTGACCACACCTGTCAGCGCGAACCCGGGCTTGGCACATCCCAACTGACAGATGGAAGCACTCAATAAGATAAGCTTCCTAACGCAGGAATGGAACTCTTGTCTTTAACGAGCAACGATGAACAGCCTAGACATTTTACCATAGTCGTCTGATTTTTTAAAGATACATCCTTGCCATTTTTTCATTTTCTCGAAGCAGTGAAATACAATATCCCCATACAGGATTCGATCTGTTCTCTTTTGTGTAGACATATGAATTACTCTCTCT